CAGTGGCATGCGGCTTGGGCGACTCCGAGACTTGCACTGCTGAGTTCACGCCACTCATGGAGTAATCGTCGATCACACGCATTTTCGGGCCTTGCATTACACCAAACCTTCGGCTAAGAACTGCGTGCTCTTCAAGCTCTGACAGTGGACTGGGACCCTCCAGCCACCCTGCATCCCTTTCTTCTAGGGTTTTTTTCAGGACAGCCTCATCTAGCTCCCCAAGAGGCCTCACCTTCTTGAGCACGTCCTCTCTGAGCTGCACTGCGTTGCACTTGAGGGACTCAGCGGTGCACTTTGCAGGTTTGAAAGTAGGCGCGAAAATTCCTGCGGCAGGAACTTCACCTGTAAGTTCGGTCCCAAAAGCCAACTCTTCAAATGCGCCCAGATCAGGATAATTACACTCTACTAGTATCTCTCTAAAGAGCAGCAACTGCTTGGGCGCCAGGATCTCCTTGCAGGCGGGGTGCAACGCATCCTTATAACTGGATTCCTGACCCTTGAGTTCTTCGGCCCGCTTGGCCCACTTGGCCATCCACACAGTTCTCATGCGCGCAAGGCTTTCTAAGCTCATGGACTTGTTGAGAGACACGGTAGCAGCTCCCTGAAATTCTGCGGGTGCCCTGCTTTCACTGCCGCTTCAACAAATCCTTCTCCGGAGTGCGGCACACCCCACGCTTGCTCATGGCCATATTCAGGTGAGCTGCCGCAAGATTTGCCTACTTCACGAACCCCCAGCTTAACCGTAATTGGAACCGACCTCAGAAGTTGGCTCTTGGCGGGAACCTGACGGCACGTGGGTTGCGCTGTCACGTGCAAAGGCACATCAAACGGTTGCTCAATACGCTCCCCGGGCTGACACGGCAACGCAAGCGGTAAACGAGACCGCAAAACAATGACGCGCTCATGCTCCGACACAGGGGCTGGGAACCTGGACGCTTTGCTCTGGATGCCCGCAATGGCTCTTTCTGCTGCTGCTGCCAGCTTCTCCTCACTCGCGCCAAGGGAAACCTGCGAGCCTGACCACCCTTTGGCAGCCATGCCCCTCAAGAATGCCAAGGCGATTGCCGCAGCCAGCCTAGGGGGGTACGCAGTCTCTTCGGATGTGGCATATCCATTGGGAGCGCTTGCTGATGGGCCCCAGGGAAGATGCTGCTCCGCGCAAATATGTCCAGGGCAAAATTTCGCCAAAGACTCAACACTGGTGCAATTGTGAGCGATTGCAGTTGTCTTCTGACGCTGGCCACCATACGCGCAATGGTCAAACCTGACGTAGGTTACGAGATGCGCAACTGACTGCCAATACGAGGTGAGCCAGAAGAAGGATCGATGAGGGTTTTCAACTGCAAAGATCTTGGAATGCTGCGCGCACCACTGCACTACGGTGGCTACGAAGCTGTAACAGGTAACACGCATTGGCTTGCGAAACTTTAAAAGCATCAAGCTGGGACAACCCCGGTTTTCCATCGGGGAAAAATTCTGAACGAAGTGCTGGCGGCCCACCATCATCTTTGCGAGCCCTTGAGGCGGACCCGCAGGGAGGAGCCACGAACACACCTATAACTCTGGGCGATGACAGCCAAAGCAAGCAAAGTTCTTGGCCTGCAGCATTGGTCAAGTCAACGCATACGCACTTGGAGCAGGCTTTGCTCGAGTCCACGTCGGCCCCGAAAGACCCTCGAACTCCAAAATTTCTCAAGCACGCCGTCACCCTGGCAGTACCTGCGAAAAGTTCGATGACAACAGGATAATCCTTCCAAGCCTCGCTTACTTTGGGGGTCTGCTTGGAAGTGCATACATTCTCGTGCCCAACAGAAGCTTTCTGCTCTGCTGAGCCAGACACTGCGAAGTTATCACCACTTCGGCATTACACTGAGGCAATTTCGTGGGCTGGGCGCTTTTGCCCGACGCACAGGAGATCGCCCCAGGCACAGGCGGGGAAGACACGTTCGGCACAACTGACTCACCTGACAAAACTGGCGGGCCCAAGGCCCGGGCTACGTGCAAGGATCTCTGCTTCTCGCCCGGCTCCGCGGGCTCGCAATCTGTTGGAGATCTCTGCACGCTGAGACGCTGCTACTCATATTGTGCGACAGAAGCCCCACAGAGCATGACTCCATGGAGGCATCCTGCGTCGATTCATACTGCGAACCTGCTCCTCTGTTGGAAATACCATCTTGCAACAGCGACGAGCACCCAGTCGCCGCCTTGTCAGCAGCAACTTGTTGGACACTTGACTGGCTCTGATCTGCGCAACACCCACGCAACTTATTGTCACTACTGGCCGCGCAGGACGCAGCCTCAACATTACTAGCAACGCACGACACACGGGCAACCAAAACTGCGGAACCTCCGGCAGCGCCATGACTGACGCGGCCGTCACGGGCTCCTTCAATCTCCACCTGAGTCACCTGAGCGGCCGATACTCACTTGTGATCTTTGAGCGGGTGCGCCCCGAAACACTTGGCACGGACATGAGCACGCTTGCAGTCTTTGTTGGTGCACGTGGCAAGACTATATCCGAAGCATACCTCGCAGCCGTCAGGCGTTGTGCCTGAGGCGCCAGGGCAGGCGAGGCTCTTTCCCAGCTCCTTTTCCCGTCTTCAGGAATTTGCTCTTGCCATCTCCACGACCATCAGCTTGCTTGCCGCCAGAGCTGGTTCTCTTCTCCCCACCTTTGCCTGGCCTTTTAGGGGCATCTTTGGAAAACCTCGGCGTGAGAGTGAACGAGACCTCGTACGACTCGAGGGCTTTCTCCAGCTCATTGTCGATGGGACTCTGCTGATTTTCGGGGGCTCACCCCCTGCTGGATCATGCGAACCCAGCACTGCCTGTCTGCTTCTGCCAGTTGTGACACTGAGCACCGGGCCAGCTGCCCAGCTGCACGACTGGGCAAAGACTAAGGCAAGGCCCCGACGCCTCAATGCTTCCTGCAGCTGCAGGGCACTGTTGGCAGGCAGCTCTAAGGGCGAGCGCTCCTCTTTGACGACGAGTTTGGAGGCTTCAAGCTCAACAATCTTGCTGGGAGTCTTGCTGTTAAGGACCTCGTGCGGCAGGAATGTGCTGCAGTTGATTCTCTTGCTCGATCTTGGCCGCCAGGTCGAGAAGAGCGTGCCCTGGCTCCAAGGATTCGCCGACATGGAGCCCAACGAGACGTGCCTTTAAGATTTCCATACGGCGCTGCCTCTCAGCAGCTGGCACAGGCTTGGCGGCTTGCCGATCAGGATTGGTGACCTCCTCTTTGAGGTCTGCCAAGATCAAC